TCTCAACTGCTAGCAGAGCACCTCACCCTCCCTGATTGAACTAACCTCGTTAACTCCACACTGATATATACCTGCCTCTGGAGATTTCCATTACTTGCATCTGAAGAAGTGAGGTTCTTACCCACGAAAGCTTATGCTCCCAGTACTTCTGTTAGTCTCAAAGGTGCCACAGGACCCTCTGTTGCTTTTTACACATTCAGACTAACACAGCTACCCCTCTGATACTTGAGTCCCAGTTAGGTCATACTGGCCTGAAAATCGGAGTAAAATCGGTAAATATCATCCTGGTTCCATTCCAGGAAGTCACACACGTCAACTTGGGGCCTAGCTGGGCTCATCATCAGGACATCAGGTGTTGAGTCAATGGATCTTTGATCTTTCCATTCTCTGGACCAATTCATATCCCATCAAAGCTTCTCTCTCCTCCCTGCCCCTCCCATTGCTCGGTTTTCATGCTTCAGGACAACCAGGAATGAAGGGCTCTGCAGAGCTCAATGCCTGAGAAACACTGGCTCAGCCAACAAGGTCCACACTAGTGTCAGGATAACAGAGGCAAGCAAACCAGACTGTGGTGAGAGGAAGGGGAGAACTAGGGCTGGGGTTTGGTGTCTAGTTAAAGGGGTGAGTGCCTGGGAAGCACTAGGATGGTACCTTCTGTTGCTGCTCTGGTGACCGTATCGCAGTGAATGTCCATTGTCTCCTCCTGAGCGCTCAGCCTGAAGACCTCATCACAGGGACCTGCAGCCGGGACAACGAGGAGCGTCTCGATAGCTGGGGAGGGAAATGGCAAAGCCTCTTGCTGTAAGGGCAAGGCAGGTTTGGAGCTCCACTCTCTCAGAATCCCACCACCCCCTCCCCCTTTCTCCTCACCTCCATTTCTCTGTGTTTCCCCGAGGCCCTCTGGCTGACCTTCTATGATCCATGATCCGTATGTCCCCATGAAGATGCCACTGTGCCAAGAGGCAGAAGGCAACTTCTCCCTGCTGCCTCACCTCTGCGCTTTAGCAGGGGAAGCAGCAGGATGGGGTATTGCTGGGGCAGGGAGTGAAAGGAGGACGCAATGGCAGCTGCCTGTGGTGACAGGAGATTGGCATTGCTTTTAAAACCCTCTCAGGCAGCTGCCATTGCTGCAAAGCCCCAGGGCTGGATTTATGGGTGGCAGGTAGCATAGGCCGGGGAAGGCTGTGCCTCCCCAAACACCCTGGCATGGACATGCTCATGCTCCATCCCCAGGCCCTCTGCTGCCTGCTTCCAACTCCCTTCCCGCTCTTCTGTGGCTGAGAGGCTGGGGCAGGAAGGCTGGGGCTGGTGCTCACAAGGCCCAGGGCTGGGGGTGCTGGGGGTGCTGGCCCGGGGCCATGCCACGTCACGCTGCCTGCCCAGCCGCCCAGCTCTGGAGTTGGGGATGCTGTGGCTGCCTGGCGTTCCAGGGCTGGGGGTGCTCCCGCTGCGCTGCCCACCTGGCATTCCAGGGCTGGGGTAGCGCGGGGATGGGGGCGGGTTGCTCTGGTCTCCAGTGGAGGACAGGGGGTGGAACAGGAGGGGCGGGGCCTTGGGCAGAGAGGGAGGGGCCGAGGGCTAGCCTATCTCAATGGTTAGCCTTTCTCAATGGCTTCTTCACCTGCTGCCCATGGCTGGGTTATAAATCATGAGAGAGGGGCAGCGAGGCTGCAGTGGTGTTCTGCATTGAAAAGAGTATAACCCCCTATCTCACAGCCACCACCAGGTGATGTGGGAGCCTCCCATCCGCCTCACCCATAGACTCTGTTGTTACATTCTGTTTCTTCATCTCCGGAGACTTCAAAGCAGCCGTCAGTGCAGCCAATTCCACACTCTGCAGGAGGAACGTCACGGCAGAGGCCACCTCCCTCTTGCTCTCGTTCCCACCAGCACTGAGGGTGGAGCTATTCAGGAAGGAACCAAAGGGGCCAGCAACTTCCTGGGATTGGGAAAAGAAACACCCTGAGAAGGAGGGAGGATTTCAGTGGTTCATGAGACACATTCTTCAGACTCCCAGGGGAACAATGACCCTCTTAGGGACATATGGGTTCATAGTGACCTTCCCCACTCAGAGGGACTGCAGCATTCTCAAAGAAGGAGCCCTTTACAGAGCGAGTGAGGCTACTGACGCTTGCTCAGGACTCCACAGTAACCAGAAGCCAGGGGAGGGCTAACGCGCTGTGTCATTTGCTCCTCATCCCTGGTCCCTTCAGTGTACTGGCCAGAGAACATTGCTACAAATCAGCAGGCATCTAGGTTCTCTCTGTGTTGTCCCCAGAAGGAATTTGGATCTTCCTAGGACCAGTGGGGACAGAGCCCAGATCCCCTGCCACTTAAGCTAGAGAGCATGCACATGCACACACACACCCCTTTTCTGAAGAGCAGCTACAATTCCCCCCAAAGTGAGACTGTTATTCCAGTGCTCAGGGCATTTGCCATAGAGCGCCCACACATGTAGGGGGAGAACCTCTGACCTGCAGCGATACTGCTCTGTCCTGGGCACACATGGTCTCCAAATTCACTAAGGTTGAATTCACGAAGGAGCAAAATTCACTGGTGCTGCCCTGTAGAACAATCAGAGGAAATGGGTTATTTCTGCAAGTATGGAAACGCCACCCAAAATTAAGGTTAATAGTTCTGCAGAGTGATGTTGCTTTGACCTGTGGCTGGCTGGCTGTCCCACTAGAATGCCTACAGATTAAGACATGTTAAGGCTAAGTGTGGTGAAGGAGTATTGAAGCTTTCATTCATATTAATGAATTTCTCCTTCCCTTCCTCACAGTGATTTTTTAAGGATTATTATCCTCCTTTTACAAGTGGGGAACCGATGCACAGAGAGACTGAGCAAATTGCCCAAAGTCACACACTGAGTCTGGGGCAGAGATGGGAACCGAACTCTGACTTCCTGTATCTCTGGCTGATGCTTTAACTGCAGAACTCTGATGTACAGTGTGGGTGTCACACACATAAGCATGATACGGTCGTGTTTTCAAAAGCACTTTGTATTGGACTGATTCTGCTTCCACTGAAGTCAGTGGTAAACCCTGGATAAGCAGAGAATCCTCAGGCTCAAAGTTTTCTGTGTACTCGTTGTGAAAACCCTCAAAGCCCAAATAAACCCCTTCCACGTACCTGCAGAAAGACAACTTTGCACATCTCCAGCTGCTCTTGTATCTGTGGAGTCTCAGTCTGGCATTTAAAGGTAACATCTAGCAACAGAAAGAGAGGCAGGACAATAACATCAGGTCAACATCTGCAGGGCTAAGGTTTTCAGAAGGGTCTCGTGATTTGAGACATATTAAAAGGGCCCTGACTTTCAAAAGTGCTGAGCACTCACACTGTGAAAATCAGGCCCCTTTAAGGTCTCAAGTTAGACAACCAAAATCACAGAGCAATTTTGAAAATCTTGGCCTAAGTGACACACCTAAGCCCACACACCTAAGGACAGAGCTGGGAATGGACGCTTGATCACTTGAGTCCTAGCCAAGCACTTTAGCCGCAAGGGCCATCCTCTATTCCTACCAGAATACAAAGTTGATGATCTACTGAAACCCAGCAGGTGTTTTCTCCCTTTAACTCCATTGATCCCTTAAGCCCTGTCTATCTGACAACTTTCAACTGAGTCTCTAATCAGTTAGCAATACATTCGGCCCTAAAAGTCTGGTGTGTGTCCACACATCACCTGGTTAATACTCACTTAAGCTTTACCTGTGTATCTCATTAATCAGTGTATGTTATGTGTCCTCTAGGGGCTGGTCCACCAAGGGTCCGGTTCTGCTACAGCTCCTAGTTATGGGAGTTCATCCCTTAGCTCAAACAGTAGTGGGTCATGCAGTTACAAAGTCCTGGGTTTCATCTTTGGTGATAACCAAGATGATGGTTGTTACATCTATAGTCGAGATGTTTCCCTTTCCCAGAAGTGTTCTAATCCTGCTATTGTACTTCTAAAAGGCCGGAGTCTCATCAAGGTATGTCTGCACTAGAAATTCTTCCGTCAACCTAGATACCACCTCTCGGCAGGTGGATTAACTACAGTGACAGAAAAATCCCTTCCATCGCTGTACCAAGTGTCTACACTACAGTGCTACAGAGGCCCAGCTGTGGTGCTGTAGCTGTGCTGCTGTCGCTTCTGTAGTATGGACATAGCCGAAGTAACTGTGGCTAGTGGTGGCCTAGGATGCCGTGTTGGGCCAAATTCTCAGCTGGTGTAACTCAATGGAGCCCCATCAAAATCAACAGACTTTACACCAGGCCCATGGTTGCCTCCCTGGTTGTGACACTGTTTTCTTTGCAGCATGGACACTATCTGTGGTCAAAATCAATTTAAAACCCATGCTACTCACTCTTCCTGCAGGAACCCGGAATCCCATAGCTGTCCATGGCGGCAGTGCCAACACTCAGGAGCGCAAATGGAGAGCTGGGATGTTCCACAGCATGGGATCTGATGGCAGGTGCAAGGATATGCAGGCTCCAAACGAACTCAGTGCCAGCGACTCGGTTCCACACCACATCCCTTACAGGCTGATTGTCTAGGATGATGGCGCCAGTCTCTGCTGTATTGGCCACCATCAAGGCAAAGTTCTCGAAGCCCTCCTGGGCATTTATAGAATACATCCAGCAGTAACTGGCAACATCTGGAACATTCATCAGGAAGGCGTGGGAGGAATTAGGGAGAGGTGCACCCACGCTGTAGAACACCACCTGGATGCCCACATTAGCAGAGATGTAGACTGGGATCCAGGGCTTGACAGGACGCTGGAGTACACTGCCTCCTGCTAGAGTAACAGTCTCTTGCTGTTCCCCTAGTTGATACAACACAGTTGTGTTCTGGGAAGCAGTGATGTAGACTACTTCATCTACTTTCTGCCATGGTAAGGGAGGAATGATGTATGTTGTACCCCAGCTGCAAACTGGTAGGAGCTGCTCAAAGACATGGTTGCATTTTGTGCTAGTACAGAAACACACCTGGCCAACCAAGACAGCCACTGGCTTTTTTGAGACAATCCTGGTGCCAGACACATTTGCTATGCCTTGTAACTGGTAGCCTTGGAAAGGAAGGAGTGTAATGTTCAGTGTGTCACCAGTGGAGTAGACCTCTGTTTCATAACGTAACTTGCCTTCCACATGGACCGTCACAAGGTTGCGGTCTTGGTATGTCATAACAGAGAACTCTGGGTAACTATCTAAGGATTCTGTAGGGGGAGTAACTATGTAGTGTTCATTTCCCAAGCTGGAGACAGGATACAGCACAGTGGTCTCAGAATTCACATCTTTGTTGCTGACAGACACTACTGAGATATCTTTGTCAGCCTTGACTAGGACCACCTTGGAGAACTTGATAACACCCTTAATTCCCACTGACTCTGGTAGGCTGACCCGCACCATCTCTCCCCGATTTACCATAATCTTCTTATCAAATGAGTAATTGGAGATGGAAACAGACACTGAAGTGAAGACAAAGTAGCCAGTAATTTGCACTTCAAATTGACTAGAGTTCCCACAGTCGTCCATGTAGGAGGTGATGAATTCTCTTCCCATAGTTTCAGTCTGACATGTGCCTGCAAGGAAAATAGCAATAAAACGTTGGAGGTGGAGATAGCAAACTGGGAGGGATTGCAACTACTTTGGAGGACAGGGTCATAATT